GGCTGAGATGAAGAACTAGCAAAACGACGTCATTTTGCCTGTAAGCTGAAATAAAAACAAAGCCCAGGGTTCTGTCGAACCCTAGCTTCCCAAAAATCTTATTTCTTCCTTTTGCCGCCGATTATCTCTAAGATTTCACAAAATTCTTCTTATCCATTCCTTATCCATTCAAAGTTTGGATAGCCCACAACAACACAAGAAGAGATTTTCGGATTTGAAGTTCTTATCAAGAGTCGCAGAGGATTTTCGAAGTCGATTCAAATTGGGAATCCTAATATTTTAAAGGTATGAATCTAGCCTTAAAAAATGGGAAGATGTGTAAAGGCTAGGTTAATTTTAGGATTCCAATTTCAAATAGGATTAGATTATTATCTGTAATTTTGGGATTGGGATTAGAATTGAGAGTTAGAAAAAGGGTTGGAGTCCTCTCTATTTCTGTATAAATAGGGGGGCACCTTCGGCTTGAAAAAAAGAAGAGGGAGATCGGAGGGCGAAGAGGAGGAGGAAATTGGAGAAAGGGAAATCCGAGAGTGGAGAGAGAAAAAGGGGAAACGCAGAAACTTGTATTTGGACTTCAAGAGAATAAAGTCTTGATTTTTCCTTTTCTTCAGGTGTGCATTGTTCATAAATTTTTTTTTCTTTCTGCGTTTTCTGTTGTTCATATTTTGTTCTTTCTTCTTCTCTTTTGTGAATTGCTTGATTGCCCTTTTAATTGTTTCTTTCTTGGTTTATCTGTAATTGGTCTTGAAGCTTGCCACGAACATGATTTCACTTGTTTTTCCCCATTAGTTTGGTTTCCTGCGATCCAAAATAACTATCTGCAGATTTTTAGTTTGTTTTATGCATGAAGTTTAGGATTTGTTATTATGCAATAATAGGAAAAAGGATTGGGAAAAGAAACTCTCTTAGGAAATATGAGGTGGGGTTTAGGCATTAGAAGAAAAAAAAAAAACAGAAACGAAAATAAAGTCAAGAAGGAGTGCAGAAATAAAAAAAAAAAACAAAAGAAACGGGAACCATGAAAGAGGTAGGTGATGATGAACAGTATTTATTTGACTTTTCTAAAGTGATTTCTTTTTTCTTTTTTTGGGGTAGCTATCATTGATGAATAAAAAAAAAAGGAAACAAAAATAAAAAAAAAAGGGAACGGGAAAAGACAATAATGGGATTTTGAAGTTTTTGTTTTTTTGTTTTATTTTATTTTATTTTATGTTCTTGGGTAATTATTATTATTTTGTTATATAAAATTGAAAGGTCCCCAAAATTAAGGTATGTGGTAACCATATTATTTGGAAGTTATGGGGTGCCTAACACCTTCCCCATGCTTAATCGACCCTCCGAACCTAGTTAATTTCTACGAAGACCTTGGTGATCTATCCCACCTCATTTGGATAGATGGCGACTCCATCCATTTTGGCACGTCAACAATTAGCTTTAATAGATAATAGAATCAATGATAGAAAGGATGCTATCCTTGAATTAGTGCAAGTTAACCTTAGTTACTAGAAACTTATGTTTACAGTATATCCAAAATACACTGTAAACATTAATGATAGAAATACTATTAAAACCTTAAGTTTAGCACATGAATTTGCAAAAGAAAACTTTATGAAAGATGGATCAATGCCATATCGTATATACTATATGATAAGTTATGCATTGACTAATAGTCATCAATCTAATCTTTTTAAAGGTAAATAATATATTGAATTAGATCCTATATTCTTTGAAATAGGACAAATTCAAAAACCATAAATGATCATTGAAATAGAATTACCCAAAGAATGGGAAATAGACATTAGTGAAAAACCACTCCTCATAGGGGAAAGAGAAATGCCTAGACTAATGGCATATGAGTCAAGAAAACTATTAGTCAAAACAGAACCTAAATCAAGCCATAGAAATAGTGTAGACTTAGAAGTTATACGCTATTCTAAGAAAGATAAAGAGGTCTTAACTAGAACAGCTAGTATAAAACATGAGGTGGTATTAGACACCTTAAAAATCCCTTTTAGACATTTCAAAATACAAGGAGATTATTATGATGGGAAAGAATGGCATAACATTTCTATCCTAATAGATACAGGAGCAGGAGTAACACATATCCATAGTGATATGATCACATACCTACCAAGATATGAACTCAGTAAACCATACACATACTACAACTTTAATGGTGCAATGACCATAGTACATGAGTATGCTAAAGTACCTCTTAAAATAAAGGATAAGAATAAGATACAACATGAAATCACTATAACAGCTCATGCTGAAACAGAAATGATTGCAAGTATAGAATTAATGCTAGGAAATACGTTCTTAACATCGATACAACCCTATAATATCCAAAAACATTGAAGACTATGAAGACTAGTATCTATTGTGTATACATATCCATTGGAATCAAATATGAAAAATACAAAACATAATTCTTTCATGCTTTTAAAGATACAGGGTCTGGGATATGTTTAGCCAAAACCAATGTATTCCCAAAATATTATTAGAGGAACACCTCTCAAACTATGAAAGGTGTAGCTATAGATGGAAGTATTATTCAATATAAAACAATAATAGAAAGAGTTACTATCGTAATTGGTGGAACTGAAGTTATAATTCCCCGAGTCTATGGAAGTAACGAGCATGGGAATGATATTTTATTAGGAAACAATTTCTTAAGTCAATTCAAGCAGTATGTTCAAACTGCATCATATGTAAAATTTTATACAACTTGTGGACATTGGCTTTACGCCTCCAGAATTTATAATGCTTATACTAGAGCAATAAAACCATTAAATTTTCATAGCCAACGTGGTGAAGATAATACAAAAACTCGATCAAAAGAGATTAAGAAACCAATGTTAGCATTGTGGAATAATGAAAAAACGCAAGAAAAATTAACTTTAGAATCCATCTCAGAAGAATTAAGAAGTAACTATGGAGAAGAACCTACAAAACTATGGGGAGTTGATAAAACTTTTGCCACAATCGAATTGATAGACCCAAAAATTATCATTAGAGTCAAACCAATGAGGTATAGCTCTGAAGATAAAAGAGAATTTGATAAGCAAATTCAAGAGTTAACAGCCCAGAAAATTATACAGGCCTTTAAGAGTCTGCATAGTAGTCCTGCCTTTATGGTAAGAAATCGTAATGAATTAAAAAAGGGAAAAGCTATAATGGTTGTCAACTATAAACAACTTAATAGCAAAACTAAATTCAATGGTTACTTTTTGCCACATAAAAAAACTCTAATCAATAGCGTTACAGGAAAGAAAATTTATTCAAAGTTTGATTGCAAATTAGGATTTTGGCAAATTAAGCTAACTCTTGATAGTATCCCACTAACAGCCTTTAGTGCCCCTACAAGACACTATGAGTGGTTAGTAATACCTTTTGGATTAAAAATACGCATCAAATATTTCAAAGAAGGATGGATAACGTATTTTCTTCCATCAAGAAATTTTGCATAGTTTATGTAGATGACATACTAATCTTCTCTAATAATGAGAAAGAAAATTTATGTCATCTTAAAAAATTTGCATATTTATGCAAGAAACATTGAATATTACTTTCTGAAAAGAAAGTAGAAATAGGAAAAATCAAAATTGAATTCCTTGGATTAACAATAGATTTCACGGGAATAGAATTACAACCTCACATTAGCAAAAAGATTTCGATGTTCCCAGATAAAGGTTTAAGTACCATTTTGGTCCCTCAACTTTTGACTTTGGCACCAAAATTGTCCCTCACCTTTAAAAAGTACCAAAATTATCCTCAGACTTTCATTTTTGGTACCAAAATGGTCATTCCGTTAGTTAAGTGACAGGTGGCACGTTAAAATGCCAGAAAATCACTGCATTTTTTTTAATCTTAATGACGTGGAAATCCACGAGAGAAAATTTTGTCAACATGGCTTTTTTTTCACACATCAGATTATCAAACAATCATTAAAAATTTTGTGGGATCCACATGAAAATTTGTTTTCTCTTTTCTTAGTTTCAGTTGAGTTCACAAAAATGGCAATGTTCTTCGTTTCTCTTTTCATTTTCTTTTCAGATTCAAAACCCTAAACCTGTTACTTCTGCAAAATCAAAATCAAATCAAGTTTTATATCACCATGGAATCTATTGATCGAATATGTTGATTTGGTATTTTTTAAAATTCATACCAGATCTGGGTTTTTTCTCTCAAACTTCATCTTCTTCCTCCTTTTCTCTTTCGACAATTTTGCCTCTTCATTCCCTATCAACCTCCCTTCTTCCTTTCCCTGCTCATCCTTCTTCTTTCTTCTTCTTATTCTTTCTTTCTCTTCTCCCTTCTTCTTCCTCTCTCAAACCCAAATCTAAGTTTTTCTCAAACCCAAATATTCATGTTTCATTCATAATATTCATGTTTCATCCATAATAGGCATCAAACTTAAAAATAAATAAACCTAAAATCAAGGGAAGCTTATCAGAATTTGAAAGGAAATACCCCACCCACGGGAAGTTCTCTCTTAACTGTTTCCCGTCTAAGATTTATACCTAAGAAGCAAACAAATGCAAATCTGCAGTTTTTTCGGTACAAATGTCGACCTCCTTCCTCCACTCTTCTACATTACCACAGCAAAATAGCAAAGCCTTCCCTTAGTCACCTAAATCTCACCTAAAGTATGCTAGAAATGGCCTTTTTGCTCTCCCATCTCTTCCGTTGCTATTTCTATAGAAATCACCGAGAGCACAAGTTGGAAATTTCTAACATTTTTATCCCTTTTGTGCGACTGTCACAGAAGAAATACAAGAGGTTTTCTATGGTTTTGAGTTGAGTGAGTGGCTATTTGGAGGTGATCGGTGAAGATGATGAAATCAGAAAGATGATTTAGGAAGATGGTGACAAAATGAGATCAAAATTGACAAAAAGAAGATTTTTTTTTTTTTTTTTGTGGGTGTGTGTGGCTATCTTCCCAGATCTGGGTTTGAGTGAGAGAAAGTGACATCAATTGATCCTCCAAGTACCATTGCAGCAACCCCACCTCACTTTCTTCCCTTTCATTATTTCACCCACGCCCTTCCTCGCATCCCCTCGTCGCTCCTCCTTTTTTCTTGACTACTGTGCAACCGCTTTCCTTCTCGTCCTTTCACGACAAACCTAGAAGCAGAACTTCATGGCACAAAGTAGAGGAAAAGTTGCGCAGAGGAAAGGGAGGAGGATAGAAGAGCAGAGCAAGAAGAACAAGTACTGACTTTGAGGCATCCGGAGCAACGTGCAGGGGTCTAGCACAAACCGAGCCAGTGCGAAGCTTGCTTCATCATCAATTTGTGTGAGGTGTTTGTGAAAAAAATGTATGGTGTATGGTGTTTATTACTTGTCTTTTTCATTTTAATGTATGAATTTTCACCTGATTGAGAAAAACCCAAATTTGGGTTTGGGTTTGAGAAAAATCCAGATCTGGGTTTGAGAGAGAAAGACGAGGGGAGAAGAGAGAGTGAAAGAGAAAGAGAAAGAGAAAGAAGAGATGTTTTATTTTCTGATGTGGATAAAAGAAAAAGATATAATTATTTTTAAATTAATTAAAAATGCCAACTCATAAAAAAATATGTTTTTTTTCCATGTCATTGATTAAGAAAAAAAAAAGAATTGATTTGCTGGCATTTTAACGTGCCACCTGTCATTTAACTGACGGAAGGACCATTTTGGTACAAAAAATGAAAGTTTGAGGATAATTTTGGTACTTTTTAAAGGTGTGGGACAATTTTGGTGCCAAAGTCAAAAGTTGAGGGACCAAAATGGTACTTAAACCCCAGATAAATTAGAATCTAAAGAACAAATTCAAAGGTTTCTAGGAATACTCAATTATGTAGAGTAGTTTATTCAAAACCTAACTCAATTAAGACATCGTTTGCCAAAGTTGGTCAGGAGGAAAAAGGAAAATCAACAATGGGAAATTTATTATACTAATCATGTGAAAAGAATAAAAGAATATTGCAAAAACCTTCCTATGCTACAATTGCTTAAAGAAGATGAATAGTTAATTTTAGAATGTGATGCCTCAGATTTTTATTAGGGAGCAGCTTTAAAAAATTTTCAAGAAAAAGTTTGTAGATATGCTAGTGGTACATTTAAATATGTAGAAACTAAATATCATTCAAATCATAAAGAGTTATTGGCTATTAAAAATGGAATAAAAAAGTTTAGTTTTTTCTTATTACCAAAACATTTTAAGGTCAGAACTGACAATACTCAAGTTAAGAGGTTTATTTTTAATAAATTACCTTTAACATCAAAATATAAAAGATTAAATAGATGGCAAACTTTCTTTGTTGAATATGATTTTGAAATTGAACATGTCAACGGAACTAATCATTGTCTTGCAGATTTCTTGAGCAGAGAAGGAGCTAATGGATGCAATCTTGAAACTCCAAAATAAAGGGAAAAACCTTATTCTCAAAGGTCAAGAGATGCTCATTAAAGGCAATAACCAAAAAAGAGAAGGCCAAGAAAAAATGATTGAAGGCTAAGAAATACTTGATGAAGGCCATAACCTTATGGATGAAGGCCAAGAAAAGATTATTAAAGGCCATGAGTTATTAAATAAGGGGTAAGATGCCCTTGAAGAGGTCAAAGAGCTGATAGAAAAATTAATGAGTTCCAGAGTAATTACTACTGTTGGAATCAGATCTAAAGAATCTAGCCAAATAGCAAACAAAAGCTCCAGCAAGAGCTAAAAGAAAATTTTGAACAAGGTGATCCTTCAGTAAGATTACTTGGAGAAAGTTCAGGGAAGTTTGACTATTATGTCAAATACTCTCCTTCAGAAATATCAATGTCTCAAGTTGAAAAGCCGACTATTCAAAATGCCAAAAGCCATAACTTTCAACCTAATTACTCAAGAAAGAAAGAAAAGAAAGCTACAATAATAGACACATTGTCAAAAATGACAATGAGTGAAGAATATCTGCAAGAATACCGTAGAGTTTGTAAAATGGCATATTCAACAAGGTCCGCTAAGAATTGCCATCTTATCCATGGAGGGATTTATCCCAGAATTAAATTCATGTAGGGTGCAAACCCAAAAGCAATAAAAGAGTTATTTAATTATGGTTTTGTAAACTGTATTTATCTCTCAAAGGATAATGAAAAAGTTTCAGAACTTCCAGAAGTTATACGCCAAGAAGTGAAAGGCTTCAAAACTGGCACTAAAGCTCAAGGGGTAGTATTTGTCAAAATCTATTATGCAGCACCAAAATGGGAGAAATCTCAATATCTCCCTAGTCATCATATAGTTCAAATTGGGATCCAGTCCAAGAAAATCAAGGTAGAAGCAAATGAAGATAAAAAATTTCAAGACTTTGAAGAGTCTCTTTGTGGGATCGAGTTCATCCAAGAGAGACGAGCTCTAGGATTCAAGGTTTTACTCCAGATCTTTGACAGAATGATAGAGATGAGGAAGACATGGACATATGGCTTCTCCAAAGAAATCTCGGTGGTATCCACTAGTGCAAGATTAATGACAAGGATCAGCCTATTCAAAGTAAAGCAAAAAAGAAAGGAAATCTTTAAAAATCTGGTCCCAGCTAGTAAAGTAGTCCATAATAGACTATGCAAGCTGTTGAAGCATGACAATCATTGTGGTTTTTGCTTTAAGGAAAAGCTAAAGCCCCATGTGACGAAGGGACCAGCCCCTCAGACAGTGAAGAAGATCTCATCATCCTCTAAAGAATCCAATGCAAAAAGACATAAGCGCTTACGTCACTAAAGAAAAAAAGGAGCATTTGCAAGATTCCTTATAATCTGCTTTAGCAAAAGCAAGAAGTAAGTCTGCATCACTAAACAATAATATAAACTTTAATCGTCAACAATGATGAAAGAAAAGATTCTAAGGAGTGCTATAAAAAGCATCCTATAAGCTGTAACAGGTATCGGGCATTGGAATATCCAAATACCTTACCTGCAAGCCTTCTACTATGCATCTATAAACACCCTTCAAGAGGAAAGGGAACTTTCCCTTTCTTTTCTCAAAAATAAATTTATGTTTTAGAATAATTCTTGTGTTTCTCTCCTTCTTTATTTCTGTTATAAATAAAATGAAAAGAATCCTAAAGAAACTGAGGCAACAGTGAAGTCACTTGTCTTGTCCGGATACCCGTTATAACTTGAGTTTGGCATTAAGGGTTGGACAAAGGAAGCATTTGCTTGACTGAAGGCTAGTCCAAAGGATTTTTAGGTAAAATTCTAACTCATTGATTTTATCATGTGGAAGTAAGGTAGGCATAGGAACAACTTTATTATTCTTTAACATTAGATTATTTTTGAGATGAGAAATGATGGGGAAATAGTACCTGACCTCTTATATTTTGAATAGAAAAATCCATTTTATATTAAACCATTCTAGTTTAAGATGCTTGATTTTATTCAAGAAATTGTTGTAGATAAGATAGTCTATGAGTAGCAATGTGAATATTACAAAAATAAAATAGTAAAAATTTTAGAAAAAATAAGTAATATTGAAGATGATTATCATCTATCTAAGAATCTCAAAAAGTTGAAGTAAACAGTTGCAGATTTAAATGAAGATCTAAAAAGATTAAAAAAGGCCAAGCAAAGATTATCTTTGTTAGCAGTCTATTAGATCTAATTTCGCATATACTGAGCTTAACATACTAGCTATTCATTAGTCAGCAGTAGTCTAAGTTAAGTTCTGAAAACCCATGGAAAAATTTGGTATCAGAGCCAAGAAACAATAATTTTAAGTATAAAAGTTGTTTTTACAGCAAATATAAATTTGAGGACTAAAAGATCAAAACAAATATAGTTAGAGGACTAATTTTTCTCTAATAGAATATGAAGTTTTCCATCAAAGATAACAGACAAGACAAAATTGAAATGAATCTGAAAGATAATAGACAGGATTGGAAGAATCCAAAGATAATAGATGAAACTGAAAAAAATATGAAAGTTAGTAGATGATTTGTTAAATTATGTCATTATAAAACCTTAAAAAATTATTGTGAAGCATATTTAAATTTAAATATTTAAATTTCCAAGCCTTTGGGGCAACACCTTAAAAAATTTAAATTTTTTAATATATTAAATTATTGTGAAGCATATTTAAAAATATTGAAAGAAATATTACTTTTAAAGTATGTAAGTATTAATTAAAGACACTGGTGTGATCATTTAAAAAATATATTAATTAAAGTATATTTTTTTTTCTCCTCGGGTTGTAGTCTTTTCTTCCCCTCAAAGGTGGGAGCCAGGAAACCACATTTCTCATCACAACTTCGCTACGAATGATGGAATTGGGTGTGCAAGATCTAACGATGGCATTAGGGGAGCAATTGTCTTTGACGGCAAAGGAGGAGGTGGGAGTTCATTTGGAGGATGGAGATGAAATCGAACTCGTTACTGAGCAATCAAGTTACTACCTTGTGGGAACAGTTCTTATTAGAAAGCGGTACAATATGGAAGCCATGGAAAACACACTTACTGGCGTGTGGAGGCCAGTGAGGGCATGCACATGAGGGTGTTGGGGAAAAATCTTTTTGCTTTCTATTTCTTTCACCCTATTGATTTATAGAGAGTGCTAGCCATCGGTCCATGGAAGTTCTCAAGCCATGTTATGGCTCTTCGAGAGGCACAAGGTGGGAAGCGGATAACGAAAGAAGACTTGTATGAGGTCCCCTTTTGGATTCAAATCTATGGTCTCCCACCAGATTGTTTAATAGCAGGAACAGGCAAACGTTTAGGGGAGGTAATGGGGCATCTCCTTGAAGTGGATGATGGTGGAGGGGATGCATGGAGCGAGGGGTATATTCGAGTTAGGGTTGTTATTGATGCTAGGAAACAGTTATGACATGGGATGAAACTCTCATTGTAGGTGGGACCAATCTGGGTTGATTTTCATTATGAATGCTTGCTAATATTTTGTTATTGTGGTGGTATGCTTGATTACATTGAAAGGGACTACGAATTGGTCTTAGAAATGGAAAAACAAGGAGTAACTAAACACCCTTACGGTGAACGCTTACGAGCACTACCAAAGTATATGCAGAGAATGGATGAAACTAGTGCGGAATGATGGCTCAGGGAGGCCGTCGGCAATCCAGTGGCGGTTGGAGTTTGACAAAGGTGACCTGTACCTAGTTTGGTAAGTGCGAGGAATGGGGGATTAAGGGAATCTCATGTTGATCATGAGCAATGTGATTGGTGGAATGGCAAAGACATGATTGAGGGAGTATGTAAGGAAAGCAATCAAAGTGGCATATTACTAGAGGAAAGTCTTGACACAAGTCGGCGTGACACAAGCTGTGAATTGAGAATTGAGGCCATTAGCCACCCTAGCATTCCGAACATAATGGGTACAACACAAGGAGGTCAGAGGAAATTAATGACTGCTTTAACTGTTGTAGATTCTGAAGATCCAAGCTATGGGCGCGAGAATGAGGCAAGATTGAAATTTGAACTAGATGGAACGATTAACATTGTTCTAGAAGGCCCAATGTTGAGCCCAGTGCCACAAGGCCAAATCAAATGAATTATGATCCTAGATCCATTTTCATTTGTGTAGTGGGCTCTACTAGTACTACCCCAAGAACAAGGGCGTGGAAATGCAAGGCTCGTGACAGAAGATCTACACAATCTCTTCGGTCGAAAAGGAAGGATGAACAAGTTTTGTAGGAGACTACAATCTAGACAATCTGTGGAAAGAGAGGAAGGGATGAGGGGTTGGATGGCAATCAAATTATTCTGTCAGCGGGTGTTGCCATGTAGGGCCGTCGGTCACCATGAGTCTTTTTTGTTAGAATTGTCGGTGGCTTGGGAACCCCTGAGCAGTTCGTTGCCACATCGAATTGGTGGGGTTAAAGAAGCCTACAATAGTGTTTCTATGTGAGACATTATTGGACAAAAGAGGAATGGAAATGATACATCAATGGTTGGGATTTTGACACTATTTTGTAGTAGAGAAAATAGGTCAAAGTGGAGGGCTTGCTATGCTCTGGCATAATGATACCGTGCTATCTTTACTTTCCCACTCTAAGAATCATATTGACATGACAATGGAAGGCTTATGAGACTATAAATGGAGACTCACTGGTTTTTATGGACATCTTGAGAGATGTAATAGGAGATGCTCATAGGCTTATAGGAACTTGTTGGTTGGGCATCCTTACCTTTGCTAGTTTGTGGAGACTTCAATGATCTTTTGAGCCAAGGGGAAAATTGGAGGGTGTCTCCACCCAAATTGGATGTTATAAGGCTTTAATGAGACTGTTGAAGCTTGTGGTCTTCTAGAAGTGCCAATGATTGGAGGTAACTTCACTTGGAGAAAGGGGAAGGTATCAGAGAAATTGGATAGGGGCTTGGCCTCAGCTCCCTAAAAATGTTTATTTCCTCAAGCTCGAGTTTAATTGCTACCAACATTGTCATCAAATTATAACCCCTTTTGGCTTACCATAGATGGGTGTCGAGATAAGTGGAATAGGCATAAAAAGAAATTTCAGCTCAAGGAGATATGGCTGTGGGATGCTGGCTGTTAGGAGGTAGTCCAAGATAGTTGGCATTTAGTTGGTGGACTGGGTAGTTGGCATAGCCTATTGCAAAAAGTACAAGCATGTTTAGCAAGCCTTGTTCCTTGAAATTCCTATATTTTGGGCATGTGCAAAAGCACCTCAAGCAATGCTCTCAAAGCTTGGAAGTGTTAAGCCATTGTATTGATTTTGAAGCTGCATGCCATGAAAAGAAACGATTACTTGTTGAAATAAAGGAATGGATTGAGAGAGAGGAGACAATGTGGAGACAACGATCACGAGAAATATCGATTCAAGAAGGCAATAAAAACACCAGGTTTTTCTCATAATAGAGCATCTAGACGAAGGGTCCGAAATAAGGTGGTAAAGCTATTGATGGATTGCGAGGAGTGGACTACAAATTCAAACTAAGCTGAGTGGTGTTGTTATTGGGTACTTCACACAGCTCTTTAAAACTACACAATCCTTGAATATTGATGTGGTAACAAATTGTTTAAGCCCACGAGTTGGAGAGAAGGCGAATGGTTATCTACTACATGATTTCACTAAGGAGGAAATTACAAAAGCATTATTTCAAATGCATCCATCAAAAGCACCAAGACCTGATTGCTTAAACACCACTTTTCTTCCAAAAGTTCTTGAGCACGGTGAAAGCTAATGTGATTAGACAATGTTTGCAGTTCTTAAATCATGGGGTAGCTTTTCCATAAGAGTTAAATTTCACAAACATTGCTCTCATCCCAAAGTGTAATGAATCGAAGACAATGAGTGATCTCCACCCAATAAGCTTGTGTAATGTGATCTATATGTTGACTCAATGCACTCCAAGAGGGTGGGGTGAATTGGAGTTGGAGAATTTTAACCTCTTTGCAACCACCAAACAAAAATTAAAGAGAGAGTTGAGAAGAAAAGCCTGCACAATGATTTTATAGAGGTTTGGTCCAACCACTTGGAGCCTAGTCCTCTACCTTGGCTTCACTCACCAAGGATTTCCTCCACACTTTCCACTAACAAAAACAATGGTGGCTTAAAGGAGCCACTCAATCCTTTACAAGAAGAAGGGTTTCTCTCAAATCTCACCCCTTTACACTTAAACCCCAAAGATCCTCTCTACAGATCACTCTTGAAGG